CTCTGGTAGGAAAGTTATCCACCGAATAAAAAAAACATCTTATTGTAAAATAATAAGCTTCTTCGCTCCACTCAGAATTTAAAACTATAGTGATTTTATTCGAATTGAAGTATAGATTTTTTTTAAGTATTATATTTTAATAATATTAAGTCTTAACCATCCTTGTAACTATAAGAAAATTTGTATTTCATAGAATCTTTATTATTATTACGCTTATAATTTCAATTTTATTTCCGTGTATTTATAAAGTGCAATGTAGAATAAATTTAATTAATCGTATAATTTACGATTAATAGATGAATGAATGGTTTTTTTTTTTTTTTTTTTGTGAACGCGTTGCTTTATAGAAAATTGTATGAATTATAAAAAATAATAATAATAATAATAATAATAAAGCTGTTTCAAACTAACTCGACTTCTTCTAAATTTATTTATACACTTGAAGTGTTGCAAGCATATTATTATGAATGATACTCTTAATAAAACCAATGGGATATAGACGTATAGTATTGCTATATATTAAGCGTCACTCACAAAAACTGCGTCAACCTCATCCGTTCATTTATTATAAATTGTTGGACGGTATAAAATTTAAATATTTCAGCACATCAAAGGCGCCCGCAGAAATATAAACCGAGCAGAGGGGAAAAAAGTCCAAAACCATACCTATTGTTGATGAAAAAACCTAAATTTTTATCTAAATTACCAACTTCCGGCCACCTCCTGCGTACGCCAATGAGCATTATCAGTATATTTAAGAAAATGCCGCACCCGCATTTATGGTCTCAGTCTAACTGACGGGCAAAATATAAAAACTACATTACTTAGAATGTAAATTGTCGAGTTTTTAAGTTGAAATTAGAGTTAGAATATAATTAATACAATTTAAAGAAGAAAATATTTTTGAGAACTGTATGAGTACGACCACTGTTTTTTTCTCAACAAATTTCGTACAAAAGAGTTACAGTTATTTAGAAAAAACTAACATTACTATAACTAGAGAGTCTTGAAAACAAGAGAGTGGCCAACCGATAAAGCAGCAGTTTTTCGACCAACATTTTCCCACCGTTTTCATGTTTGAAATCGAATTCGTATAAAATTATAAAATTTGTTTAATTTATAAAATAAATAATGTTATATAAAATGAAATATAATTCATATAATAAAAAAGTCAATTACTAACGTAAAATATTATAGTGAAGAAATGTACGAAAATGAAATATGACGAAAACTGACTATACCTTATCAAGGTTTGTAAGACAATCTTTTTGGAAAAAGCTGGATACAGCCCTCAAAAATATTATTACATCGTTGTTTGCGTATAAACTGTATAGTTTCGACCTAAACGCCGTTACCTATACGTTCTAAGTAACGTAATTTGTCCGTGTCGCCCGTTAGTTATATTGCAGAGACATGCAGATGCGGGTGTGAGGCACATAACACGTTATACAAAGTATAAACTACGGGTAGGTAGTTAAAGTATAAATTTTATACATTACCTATACGTTTACGTTGTTATGTAAATTACCTAGTTATTTCATAAATTAAACGATTCAACACTTTAATAACTGTATATATAATGTATATTATACAGTGCGTAAATTCCCGAACAATAGGAAGACGCGTTATTATAATAATATTATCATTATTATTGTACTCGCGTACTATTAAAAAAAAAAAATAATAAAAAAAAAATAACTATATGTAATAATATAATGGTACATTATTATAATTATTCATTGTAAAAGATAATTTTAAACGTGACTTTCTAAATGTCGACCGACTGTAGAAACAAAAACCCCGATTTTCTAAAACTTGTCAGAAAATGTGTATGTGTGTGTGTTTAGAGTATATTATAATGATATTAGGTATTAGCAGAAGCAACGAAAACGATATTGTAATCTCTGAGTATGTGCGTACCCAATATAGTATAATATTATAACAATACCGCCAGCTCGCTCTTACGCACACAAACAATATATATGTATATAATAATTACACATAAATCAATGGTTATAATAATATAAGCAATAATATAAGCATTATGAATACCGATCGATTTAAACGAAAAACCGTACAAAAATGTAAGTATACAATATAAAATATTGTATACATTCGCCTCCATTCCGGATGCGGCGGATGTATTAATGCACCAGTAAAGTGTTGGACCAAAAAAGAAGGGGAAAAAAAAATCCACGATTAAAAGGTTATAATATTAAGTGGACGGGCCACACCTGCGTGACCCGTTTTTTTTAAAATTAATTTCTCGAATAGTCGCGGTCGTTTAAAAATATCGATTGAAACGGTTGTTTATAATATTTTTATTTTTTAAATGATATATTTCGAGCGTTATTATAATATATTTTTAATAATATTCGGAACAACGGAATTTACGCACCCTTTGTCTTACCCTCCGAAATATTGTTCCCTTTAAATTTCAATACGGGTGGTTTTAACCAAAACCCAAAATCAAGCACAACACGGGATTTTACCATGTCGCCAGTTAGTCGGACTGGGACAACATCGCACGCGCGGGTATGGCATCATCCTCTTGATGTCGATATGATTGAAAGCCCCGACCATGAATAACGTTGTTAAGTAAAATTTAATCGCATTCAATAATTTAGTCGTAATACACCTTTAATAATTTAATATTTTGTAAAAACAGCGTGGTTAAATTTTGCTTAACTGCATTTTTTTTCTTTAATAATCTGCAAACTGCATTATATCACCATTACCCTATAGTATTATAATATAATATTCTAAATCGTTAAATTCTTATATGGGCAAATCCGATCCCGATACCGCTCCAACAGATCCGGTGAAGTTTTAATAGTGTTCTAAGCATAATAATATATACACCTAAAACCTAATCGATAAGATACCGTGAAGGGTTTAAATATATCGAAAGCATCGGAGGGGAAAATTGAAAATCCCATAACTAACCTCGGTCAAAGGTATGGGCCGTAAGTTGAATGAGTATTAAAAAAAAATTGTCGTGTGAATTTATCCTCGGGGGATTTTTATCCCGATTAACGGAACGATGTACACGTGCGATACATTATATATTATATTATGATGTTGGATATTTATTTATTTTTGACGTTTTTTAACATGAACTAAGCGTATAAAATGTATACGTAGTTTACTACATTAAATGTAATTTGAACGAAATTTCGTAAAAAGGGTCAGGAACTTTAGTCCTCGAGTTTATCAGAGTATGCTACTATTTATGCTTTACTATTATATTTATTAAGAAAAATATGATTCGTTGTAGCTTTAAAAACGATTTGAATATTTTGAGAGCTATTGTTAAATGCCGACGAAGTTTTCATACCGAATTGTCGTCATCTACATAACAAATCGTTTAATTGGCGTTTTATTTCTAAAACGGATTTTAAAGACCTTTTTCAATTTTACCGCCAGAACGTGTATGTTTGCTATGTTATAATGTCGGTTTAAAAGACAGAGATGGGCTGCAAATGCCACGGTGACGGCTTAATTTACGCCGAGACGAGCTCGAGTACATTTTAATAATAATAATCATATTTTATTTATTATTCTACACATAGAAAGATTATATTGAAATGTCGGTGTAATTTTGAATATTATTTTAATACATCTAAAAATAATATCTAAGTATAGGCATTTAAACGACTATCGACAGCGAAGTATGGCCGTCTTTTTCTGTCCAAATGTATACGGAAAATTAAAACATTTCAATTCACTATTGACGCAATTTTCGTTTTGGTGAAAAAGGCGCAAGTCGTGTTATTATCGTATATACGAATCAAGCCAAACGCATAGTGTCTGTAGGCCGTTTAGCGGTTTATCCATTTAGCGGCGATTTCGTCGTTATGTCGTTTGGCGATAATTTTCAACATTTGATTGAAAACTATAATGTACAAGTACGGTCTTGTACGTCATCTTGTCAACGTCTTATCGGATTTTCGTCGTCTACAAATTGTCTATAACGATCGGCGATTCGTTTCTGAAACGGAATCGACGCGGGCCTTTACCCTTTTGTTTTGCAAGGATGTTTGCCGGACGTGTAATACCGCCGCCCGTTCGAAAGACAGTGGAACGTAAAGGAACGCAAGTGCCACTGTGTGTGCCGGCTTCTTAACGACGACGACAAAACGGGCCATACACGCCTCTTAAACGAGCTCGTGTATAATAATAATAATAATATTATGATTATTGTATTGTTGTTGTGTTATACACGCGCGTACGCAACAACAATATGGGGAGAGAAAAAAAAGTTAAGTGGTAAAAAAAAACGCTCGCGCGGAACCACACGTTCACCGGACCATATATATAAGTTTTCACCGGAATAAAAGTCATACTATATAATTATCGTATTATTATTATTATTATCATTATTCGCCGTGCACACACAAAATTCGTGTAGGTATAACACACACACGCACACACGCACACGTACTATACGTGTATTATTATTATAATACACTCCCTCGGTCTCGTTTCCGCCACCGCCACCGCCGCCGACATTTCGCATTTGGCACACTAAAAACCGTTTCGACGACGACTGCGACGACGATCAAGTCATTCGCGGCGATCCCGTAGAGTGCATTAAACTGCGTCGTTAGTCACCCGCTGTTTATATTATTATTATTATTATTATTGTACCGCGGTGCGCCGACGATTTTTTTTTTCTTTTTTTTTTTTGTTTTAATTTTTTTTTCTTGTTGTCGTTCCAGAATACCCGGCGAGCTCCTATACATGTATATTTATAATATAGGTAACCGATATTATACATGTATATAATATCCGTTGTACCGTACCTAAACCGGCGGCCGCGGCTTCCACCACCAGGCGGCCGCTGCGCAGCAGTCGTTACACCCGTATCGTTATTATACTGTTGTTCTATAACCGTAATTATTATTACTGTACAGGCGTTTTCGGCCCGCGAATCTCGGCGACGATCCGTGGTGCGAAGAAGTAGACGCCGGGCGCGCACGCACAGTCATCAGTCGTCGAGCCGCAGTCGGCCGCGGGTATATTGTCGGCCAGCTAACGATAACAACGGCAATAACGATAATAACATTACCTGTACGCTTACGCTTTTGTCCAGCAGCAACAGCCGCAGCACCGGCCGCACCGGCAGCAGTTTCCGTCCACGTGTCTGGCGCAGAAATATTACCGATCCGACGACGCGCGTTGTCCGAGTGTATCCGTCCGAGGCGCTACAGGTCTGTAACCCGAAAGAAACAAACAATTTTTTTTATACTTGTAAACATGTTATGTTATGTACGGTACGGTATTATGTTATTATAAGGGAGATAAACGGAGGCGACATCGAGGTCCCGTTTTTCTTGTCCGGTCCGCCGGTTATCCGCAGTTCGGTTCAGCGAGCGGTTTTCGACGTTGCCGTTAAAAAGAAAAAAGAAGCGCGTGTTATTATTTTCACGAAATACGCGCGTTTCGCTTAACGCCAACACTATAAGATCGCGCCGTTTCCAAAACTAGAGTCGCTCGAAATATTACGGGGTTTTCAGCGGTCGAAACATTCGTTATCGTCCACGAGTTTTCATTGTTTGGTCGTGTTCCGTATCGCGTACACGCGTACACTTTCGTTTGCCCGGAACCAATCGTACTCGCCACAAGGACCGTCGTCGGATAATATGACGTCGCACGAAAATCGCCTCCTGTTGCGGGCGTCACTGCGGCGCGTTACAGACGGGTCGCGAAAGTTCGAAAAGAGGCGCGGTTCCGAGAACTTTGACGAAATCGCGATATTTATTTCTCTTTCTTATTCCGGAACTGCTCCCGTGCCATCCGGCCCGCCCGCGCATCGCGTTGCGGTCACTCGCGAAACGCCCACGCAAAACCCACGAATACACGGCCGGCGTGCGGGTGCCCGATATGACCCGCGCGATAAACGTGTGGGAACCCGAAAACGCGTGTAAAAAATCTCACTGTCGTACGAATGTCCCCCGGCGCGGTCGTTTACGATTCGGCGCGGTCGTTACGGCGACGTTTTCGATTTCGGTGATTCGCAGCGCAGATTACCCCATATTATTGTTGGCCGGCAATAACGCGCGGTTCGGGCCGATTCGACAATAATCTATTTCGTACGATTACCGCGGCGGCGAGGGGAAGCGCGGGGAATCGACTTCCCGACTCTACCGCCCCCCCACGCCCCCCCTCCACGCCCGGCCGCCCGTGCAATCCGCGGCCGTCCGACGGCGTTAACCTAGCCTAACCTATATAATGCGCGTTAATAACGCACAACGTATTACGATTAAAAACCGTTTTATTATAATAATTTCTCGCGCTACATGTTCAACTGTCCGTTGTCGGCCGTACACCTACTACACGCGTGTAGTATATACGCGTGTGTGTGTGTGTGTGTGTGTGTGTGCGTGTGTGTGTGTGTGTGTGTGTGTGTGTGTACACACATACTATTATATTCGGCCACCGTCCGAAATTATTAACGGGTCAATCGACGCGCCCCTCCCCGCCACCCGCCCACCGGCCCCGATTAATCCGCGCGCGTCACCGAGTTACGATTCCGTATTGTAGACGCTCCGCGCGGTAAATCCGACGGTATAATATCGTCGACGGGGCTCCCGTTAGGTTAGGCGTTAGCCCGCAGTGTATTCCGCACGGAAAACCGTGTCTCCCGGGGGAACAGAAAAAACTCTCACGCCCCCGCGGAACGGTTGGGTTTTAACGATTTATTATTATTATTATTATTGTTATTGTCATTCGAGAGATGAATATTGTTCGTAGCGATCGCGTTGAATATCCGTTTTCAATATTCCTATAAAGAACCCACGTTATCGAACGTCCGAAAAACTACAATTTTCAAAACATTCTCGCTGTTTCAAATTAAAAAAAAAAAAAAAAAATCAAAAAATGGATTGAAACGGGAGCGTTTTACCGGAGTCGCGAGAGTTTCCTCGCGAAGTCGTTTTCGTCCGTAAAACCGTCGGAATACCGAGCACTGATTTTCTTTCCGGTACCGACATTTAGTGCTGGCCAACAGTAGCGTTTGCGAAATTAGGGTTCCATTTTTTCCAACGATACATTGGATTTTCCGTAGTTTTTTTTACAGCGGACGCAATAACAACATCAAAATCCTCTATAGTTTCTTTATATTTTAGGTGGTCGTACCGGGGAAATGAGATTGATATCCCCAGATTTTCCTTATTTTTCTTAAATATTTATATTTTATAATAATATATAGGACGGTTTTTTAAGTATGCTCACTCCATGGTGATTTTTATGATTAAATTATGCATAAATACAAATTCCGATTTATGGAATTTTTATGCGCACCTAGTGTACGACGATATTTTCAAATACTTAGATATTTCACAATGCTTAAAGAATATCCTGTGATAATACCAACTTAAGTTTTTCAAATAAATATCTATACATTTTTATGCAAATCGTCAAATAGATTGACTTATTGTTATCGAAATTTGAATGAAAAGTTTCTGGGTTATTCGACTTTAAATACTAAAAGACAATAGATGCACGATTCAAAACTGGTAATTGCCTATTCACGACTTCTATAAAAAAAAAAAAAAGATAGTAAGTATCTAATATTCCAATTCCCATAAAAATCTATTATCATTAGTATTTAAAACATAAGGATAACTCATAAACTTTTCGTTCAAATTTCAATTTCAATACGTCAATATTTTCAAAAAAAAAAAATCATCTGATTGTTACGAATTAAATGTTGTGAAAAATCTAAGTATGCAAAAATATCGTCGGTCGCTGCCGGAAACCGGAAACTGCCAGAATTCCGGAATTCGGAAACCAGAATTTGATATTACGCATCATTTAACCGGCAAAATAAGTCGAGCATACTTAAAAAATCACCCTGTATATTATATTACGTCTTCATAGTTTTAAAAATAAATTATTTAAATACTAATAATTCTTGAAAATAATTCTTCTCCCCTCTACCCCGTGACAAAGTCATTCGACTGCCATTGTGGTCTTTAGAATGTTAAAAATTATTTTTAATTTTATAAAATCGGAGAAAATTTGTTATGACCGGTTCCGACTGCAATTGCTTTAATATATAATGTTATAATATAAATTTACAATATACATCTGCAGTTCTATTCGCTTAATAATATGTCGTTATAAAACGTGCACGCTTGAATCGTTTCCCATTTGACCCATTTGACCCTCGATTCGTCACCAATGAAAATTGAAAAAAAGAACTCGAAAAAAAAACCCGTGCCGGATAGTTGGTACTCTCTTTTCATTCGGATTCCGTTCGATAGATTTCATAAAATAACAAAAAAAAGACATCAATAGCCAACTTCGATTTTATATATTATTATTTACACTATAATACGCTAAATGGTATTGCACGGTAAAAACGGCAGAAAATAAATATTTAAAAAAAAAAAAAACCATCGGTGTAATACAATAAATAATTATATTCCGCGCGTAGATAACTTATAATATAATAAAACGGCGGAATAAAATAAAATATTTTTAAAAAAAAAAACTATTTAATTATTTGCATTAGGTTTTGAATTAATTTACTAATAACGCTGCATAATGGGTTTTAATGCAATATGCAAATAACGACGTAATACTGCTGCGTATTATGATTCGATTTTGTTTGTTTTCGCCTGTGTTTCAGTTCTGTAAAATAAGGGCAAATTGTAAAACGTCTATGTAATTTTGCATATTCGTTTAATGCGTCTAAAAATGTACTGGTCGATTTTAGCCGGCAAAGTGCGTAGGCCGGGGCAGGTTAGGGGTTATATACCCCCCTCCATTGTGTTTCAACCGCGAAAATTCAACGGCGCAAAATGTTAATTTTATTTTGAAATTATAATTATAATACATTTTAGCACGATTTATTGCAGATTAATTGGCTCTTTCGGGTCCGCGGCTTTTAAATACCGCTTTTAAATAATGCCCTATTTGATGTTGTCCGGTAAAACAGCGGAAGGCGATTCTACGATTATTATATTATATGCTGCAATGTCCCGTTCGGCTGCCCCCGTTGAAAATTTCTGGGCTCGCCACTGCACTGTCATCGTCTTCGGTTTATTTAACAATAAATTGACGGCGGCTGGAATATCATTGGTAGGGAAGAAGGCTCGAGTTACTATTTGTCATTTTTTGATTTTCTCAGGAGTTTTTCCAATATACGTGAAAAACCGATAAAAACGTAGGAAAAAAGGGACAATGTCAAACAAATATTACCTGTTAAAGAAAGTACATAATTTATATGATTATTTCGCTGTAACTGATATAACAGGTGATCCATTTAAGTGGGCACACTCGTTATCTCAGAAAGTATTAACTTTTTCCGGAATTCGTTTTCTAGAAACACATTTAAGAAACAAGCTGCTCTACAATTTTATGTTTATATTATTTTTCATTACCCTTATTTTTGGGGGTAAACCACTACCTTTCTTATGATTTTCAATTGGCAACCTATATTAAAAAGTATATAAATGGATGGAGTATTAATTAAAATAAATTTTAGTGTTGACATTTTTGATTTCCTTCGATCCGTTGACGGGATATTCCACTTTTAAATATGGGTTGGAGGAGAGTAGCGGAGTATCATTTGTGTGGACGGTATGGCGCGCGGCGTATAAATAATGCACCACAACTCTCCACCAAACTAAAATTAAAAGTGAAATATCTCGTAATCGACTTTACAGAAATCAAAAATGTCCACACCCAAAATTTAATTTAAATAATACTCCTTCTATTTATGGCATTTTTAATATAGGTTACCATTTGAAAATCAAAAGTAGGTAGTGGTTTTACCCCCGAATATAAGGGTGACAAAAATTAACATAAATATAAAAGTATTGTAGTAAGCCGTTTGTTTCTGAAATGTTCTAGAAAAAAAATTCGAAAAAAATTAATACTTTCCGAGATAACGAGTGTACGCACTTAAACGGATCACCCGGTATATTGTTGATAAAGCAACACTATTAATCGAAATCCGCTCAGACTCGTTTTTTCGGCAACGTAGGTTAATCGTTACTTACAGGTATACATTAAATTCCCGTCTACATCCTGCCCTCTCAACTTCCCGCCCACAACAGTGACTGCACCCGTTCCCATTACCCTAATGCTAAAGGCTTTTTTTTTTGTACAAATTTATCTTGCGCAATTTTCCCCCTCGTATATTTTTCCGTCCGAACGTACACGGTACACGCTCAACGTCACTGCGATGCGTACTTTTCGTTTGGCGAAAAAGACGTACAAACCGACGAATCAAGCGGGCAATTATTGGAACGCGGCATTTTAGGATCGGGCCGTTCATAGCGGCGGCGATCACGTCGTTTCGAAAACGCGTTTCGCGTTATCGGAAACCGTACGACCGTGGCGCGTTCGGGTGGGAGGGGGCCGGGGGTTACATCCCGTCGGCTTAAAAATACAACATACTTTACGAGTATTTATTTGCATAGTTGTTTGCATGTACTTCAGCCAAGTATTTTAAGAAAAAGCTCGGTTTACCGGTTGAAAATTGACTTGGGCCCTCGGCTCTTGGGTTTCATGTCCGGGTAGAGCGGAATATGCGAAAAACGATATAACATACACGGTTATTTACTCGCCACCTCCCCTCGTCCCGTCGCGCGTTTCCCGGGCACGCCGCTGCCGTCGACCCGAGCTGTCCTTTCGATAGTGTCGCAATCGTTTCGGCGGCGCACTCGAACGCCGCGGATCGGTTCCGAAATCGCCGGGAAGCGTTTCGCGCGCGCGCGCGCGCCCGTACTTTTCGCGTTATATAATTTTAACAACAACAACAACAACAACAGCAGCAATGTCGACCGGACGCGTTATTACGATATTATTATTATTATTATTATCCCGCGCATAATAGACGGCCGGCGCACATAACGCGCGAGAAACGGACATTTACGGTATTATGGGCACACACACACACACACACGCTTACCTTTCTACGCGCGGCCGCCGCCGCCGCCGCCGCCGCCGTCGTGCCGAATGCCGGAATATTGTTTTTGATTGGATACCCGCGATATTTTCGCCAAAAAAGAAAAACTCAGGAACGGGGAGGGGGGGGAGGGTTTGGTTTCTGTTTCGTGTACGCGCGGCGGCCGTCGCAGCCGTACGTCCGCGACACGATAATGCGCGCGCGGCCGTACGCGGTTTTTCGTCACCGATAACCTACGGTGTTTGATCCATACCGGAGCGGTGACGGCTGGCACGGTACCCGCGCACAAATACGGACGTATATTGTGTGTGTGTGTGTGTGTGTGTGTGTGTGTGTGGTTCGGCGTACGAGTCAACGGTTGTTATGCGGCGTACGGCTGGTTTTTTTTTTTTTTCTCTCTATCTTTTTCCACTCTCCACTCATTATTATGTTATTATCCGCACAACCGCGGAATCGATTTTCGTTCCGATATTCCGCAATCCGCACAGTGCCCATTGGCACGGGCGGCACGGGCGGGGGCGTAATAACGATATTACACGTACGCGTACACCCGGGATAACAATAATAATCACGTAAAACGCGACTTCGTTTGTGCACACATTTATTTACGAGTATTGACCATTTTAATGATTTTGTTTTTACTACTTTATTGTTCCATCATTAATGATCGTACGGGAATGTTGCGACAATATACGCCGTACTAATAATACGATATTATTTTGTAATCGGTTTTTTTTTTTCGTTTGTTTTGTTTTTCGTCGCACAGATGGCGCTAAAGATATGGACGTTTCTGTTGGTCATGTCGCTGCCGGCCGCGGAACACGGGCACGGGTTCGGTTCGTCCGCGGCCGTTTTAAACGGTATCGATTGTCGGCGACAAAACCCGCAAAGACTCTGCCATTCCGATTACGGGAAAACCGACGACCGAATCAAAACGAGTAAGCGCTAGAATAATATTATACGTATACTATTATAATGAAATTACATAGAAAAAAAAAAAAATATATACAACACGACTCCACCGAGTATCTTTTAATCGAGGATCGAGGATTCCGTTCAAACGAGGGCCGTACTTAGTTTGTGTCACGGTATATCGTTTTGACGTTATTATTCGGAAATCGCTTGCCTATCGTTTCAGTGGCGCCCGAACTATACTCCTAGTGTAGCAGTTGCTACACATCATATTTTGGGCGGGTTTTCCCGGTAATTGGGATTTTAGACGGTTAGACGGCTAGAACGGGTATCAGCATTCAAGGTAGTGAGTTGTAGGCGTTGGAAAGTATATATTTAAAAATGTTTTGAGGTGTACGGTATTTTGAATCTAAAATTCGGCTACACCACAAAAATATAGTTTGGACCAGCGGCGTAATTGGAAATTCCGATGACCGTTGCAAAATCGTCGTTTTAGTATTTACGATTTTCATACAATGAGTTAAACGAAAAGAAAAGGTCATTCAAAAAGACACTATACGCTGTCTAATAATGCTTCGGGCCCCGATGTGGGCTACTGCTAAGGTCCGTCAATTCGGGCCCGTGGCGTTTGTCCACCACGTCCGTCCAGTATTTACGCCACTGGTGTGGGCGCCACACCGCATCAAAGCAATCGGCACGTAGAACTTTTCGTTCCGATCGGCGTAAATACTTACCGGCTGTATTTCTCTCAGTCACGCCAATTTGTTGTACATTACGGTATAACCTACAGGTTTCGTTTTTTCGTCTGTTTCTCTGTATACAGTTACGACAATGGCCGCGACACACCGGGTGGACAAGCGATCCGCTTCCAAAATAAACAACAAACACCATTACGCGGCGGCAGCGGCCACTTCCGGAGTGCCGTCGGCCGACGGCCGGTGCATGGCCCGCGTGCAAGCGGCGCTGGGCGACATGTTATCGGCCGCGGGGTCGACGGGCACCAAGGACGGCAACCGCCGTCACACCGGCGCGCCGCCGCCGTCCGCCACGGGTTACATGGACCTGTCCGGGTACGCGTTGCACCAAAAATTGCGTACGGCCCCCGGGACGGAAATGTACGTGACCGGAATGCGAGCCAAGGTGTTGCCGTCCCGCGACGGCGCCACCGCGGCGGATGCGTCGTCGGCGGACGCGTGGAGCGACCGTTCTTGGGCTCGGGTCGACGGGTGCCGATACGATCCTTTGGGCAACGTGCTGGAGGCGCGCATGCGGTTCGGCAGGGCCTTGATGGTCTCGGGTTCCGTGCGACTGTTGCACGGCGGCGGCGGCGGCAACAGAGTGGGCACGGGTCTACCTGGCGGCGAAACCGGATGCGACATGACGCTGCGTCTCAGGCCGCGGGCCGGTCTGGGATTCACGGCCATGCCGCTGACCATGCCGGAAAAATCGCCGCCGAACCGTCTGACAGCCACGCCTACAATGACCATACGTACCACGGCCACGTTTATCGACCCCGAACCCGCGGATGACCCGGCGTCCGCTTACGTTAGCGTCCACTCGTACAACTGTGTGGGCGGTGCCGCGGGTTTTCCGGGCAGCAACTACAGGGAGCGTCCGTCCGGCGCCGTGATCGCGTCGTCGGATCGTTTCGAGCAGTTTTTGTCCACCGAGGAGAGCGGAAACAACGACGAGCTACAGTCCGACGGCGGAGAGATCGAAATCGACATGGACGACGACGGCAGCACGGAATCCACCGAGCACAACGACAAACGCAGTAGTAGCAGTCGACGTCCGTCGTCGTCGTCGTCGTCGTCGTCGTCGTCGTTTTCGTCCGTGGACGTCACGCCCATCGTGTCTGTGGCCGGGCCCGCGGCCATGGCGTCCCCGGGGATCTCATCGTCCCCCGCAACCGCGCCTCCCCAATTCCCTTTCATTTCCGCCGGTTTCGTTGCCCCGGCGCCCCCCAGCCCGGAACCCAGGCTACGGAGAATACAGTACCAGAACAAGCCCCTGCCGCCGCCACTGCAGCCGTCGCAGCAGCCGCCGCTGTTGCCACTGCCGGCACCGGTACGTCCGCAACATCCTCTTTTGACCGTGGCTATCGCCGGAAACAACAACAACATCAACGATTACCATCAGCAGACGCAGGACCAACTGCTCATGGAAATGGAAGAGGTGTTCGTCCGGGGCGTCCGATCGCTGTTGGCCAAACACATGGAACGCACCCTGAAGCCCGTGCTGAAGGACTCGCTCATGGCCAACATGGGATACACTGTGTCGTACGGTTGAAACCATAACTATAATAATAACATTATATATACCTATACTATATACTATCACTATAATATAATCGCATTTTATCGATATTCACGCATGTTTAAAAAAATATAATAAAATGGTTAACGCTGCAATAAACATAACTGTAATGACAATCTATGTACGCGTAATATATTCGACGTAATTCTACGCCATACACGTTTTTGCGGTAGCCGTGTTTTATTTCATTGTGTGTTGGTACATGCTGCATTATTACACACATCAACGCACACACGGATAGTTCTAATATATTTAATAGCGGTACGTTTGAAATTATGACATACTATGAAAAACATTACAATTTGAGGGGTTCTCGGTAGCTAAACGCATCGTCCGGTGTACAGAGTGATTCCGGCCGTAGACAGTGTGTGACGAAGTGGGACGCGGAAAGTAGCTGCACGTAATCTGGAAGAGTTCACGCGCATCAACTGAACTGCTAATAGGTCCGTTTGTTCAGAAAATTGATGTTGGCGGGTACTCTTCGGTCCGAGTTAAAGTGCTAAGCTGTAAGTGGCGTAAAACAGGGGAATAATAATTATTTTTAATGTATAAAAATAATATTAATTCGGATTCTTGTACGAATGTTGAAACTTTATTCGTATATTATATTATTATATGTTTTGTTAGTTATAATACCACAATTGAGAAATAATATAATATCAGCTTGTATTGTTTAATACTGCAGTTATATTTTGTACTCGTGCGTATTAAAATTATGCGTAAATCGTGTAGAAATAACAAAATCGAATTGCATCGATACGATTAAAATCGAGTCGACATTAATATTCGTTTCAACGTTGGACATTTTCAAACGAATCTATTATCTATAGTAACATAGATGGACTCAGAAGCTATTGATATTTGACGTGGTATTTGTTTTAGTTTTCAAGATAATATAGTGAACGTTTAACGTGAGTATAATATGTTAATGTCTGATTACACGCAGGAAACAATATGTCCCGTCATACGGATTTGTGGCCAACGTCGATAAACGTAGCGTATAATACCTGTACTTAAAGCGATTATAAGGATCGAACATCGATGAATATTTGACGTGGTTTTTTTTTTTTTTTTTTTCTATAAAAAGAGCGCACGGAAACCGAAATAAATAAACATGTATGTAAATAGTAAATATATACGCGTATGTATTATGATTTATGATTCACACGATAATCTAAATGTGGGTAAATACAGTGGCGTGATGACGAAGATATTACTTTGTTGAGATGTGTGTAAAACAGGAGAGGTCGGGTGTAAATAATAATAAAGATGTATAAAGATATGAAAGATATAATTTCTAAATGTAAATGCGTTATTGTATACTCAAGTACACTTAATAGGTATTCAGTAGCATTCATATACGGCTGTGCAAACATCTGTTTTTTTTTTTTTTTTTTGTTGTTGTTAATGATTTGGCTCACATATAAATTATAATAGATCGAACTCTGTAAGCAATTGTAATAAATTATTTACTAAGTAAACTTAGATAGTTAAACAATAAACTAGACTCAAGACAGATATTGAATATCGAAACCTAAGTCTTTTTTTCTCGGTATCGATTTTGGTATTTTATTATTATTTTTATTGTGCACGTCTTCAATTAGATCTTTAATTGTTTTATCATTGAACACTCATTAATTCCCAAAGTAGACTTTTTCAAAAAATAAAAATTGTTTTGACAATACGTATAAGAAACAAGCAGATTTAAAATGTTACTCCGCCATAATGTTTTTTCATCCTTATTATTGGGTGTGAAACCACTACCTATTTTTGATTTTCAAATGGTATTATTTTAGTGGAGCACCAGTTGAAATAAATGTTGGTGTTAAAATGTTTAAATTTTTTTTTTTTTGAAATTTATACTTTGCAAAATAATGAATGTTCAACGATAAAAGAATCACCTTGTATAGTTTTAAGATACTCCACCAAAAGGAGAGATACAACCGGATTGAATGTCGATATCCACTTAATAAGATTATCGAAATGAAACGAATATCGAGTATCAAATCTACAAAATCTTTATAATCAATTTCCTTTATATCAGCGGCGGTCTGGGCAAGCGAGGTAAGCTTAAAAAGAAAGACAAAAAATGTAATATTTAATTTATAATGTCAATAGGTAAGAAATATGCCGTTATGTCTTGATGTAATGTAGATTTTTTTTTTTTTAGTTTAGGCATTATAATAATATATTTAGGCAACAGATTTATATGCACTTAAAATCCACAAAAGAAGCGCTTATAAGCATCAAAGATCCCTAAAAATCACTTGAAAATTATTTTAAAAAAACAAAAATGATAGAGGAGTTTAAAAGTCCCTCTTCATTTATTTAAAATAAATTTCTAATACTTCAAAAATAATTACCTAATATGTAAAAGTTGTATTTAATAAAGGAAGAAACGTTAAAGTCGAGACTTTAAAGTCTCTAATACTTGTATTTTTTAAATATTTTTATGTGATTTTTTCGGGATTTTTTTTGACAATTTAAACAACTTTTTTGCGAATTTTAAATGCATATAAATCGGTTACCTTATTATATTATATTAATCATTTTTTTTTTTTTTTTTATATTTATTAGAATATAATATAAATATACTATCTGTAATAAAGGTTACATATGAGCCGAATAAATAATATATATGACCTGAAAGCTCAAGAAAAGTAGCTAACCCAGCAGTTACACTCAGACAAGAATTGTTAGGCTATTTTATATATAAATATAATTAATAATTTAAAAAAAAAATTAAAAGACGTCGAATAGGGAAATGGACCTAGTCAATTGGACGTGGTCGTTTGAACGTGGGGACAATTGGATGTCAAAAAAAAAAAAAATTAAAAAAAAAATGAATCATTAAAAATATTTGTAGTGCCATTTTCTGCTGGTTTATCTATATTTATAAATTATAAAACCACCGATATTATGTTTATTATAATATAACTACGAGTATAATGGTATCGTACCATATTGAACCTTATCGATTATTATTGAATGTAACGCATTACCAATAGATCGAATCGTATCGGTTCGACGTAGATACTCATATTTTATACGTTTATAATACACACTCACATACATAAGTTTATAAATGTGCTAGTCGTATACAAATTGTGTATACAAGTGTCCTGGTAAGATGGCATTAATTAACTCGAATCGCGACGGTGAAGTTTTTTTGAATGATGGTTCCATGTACTTATTTGACGCCTTTTGTTCTGATGGTTTAAAACGGTTTTAACGATGTAGATATAAAAGAGAATATAAGGCTCGTGTGCAATGTGCATACTGGTATAACAGACTTAGTTGTTCTTAAGCGTATAGACAATCTTACTTATATACAAGTCAACCGATGATTCATGATTAAATAGGACTCAGTAGGATAACTGATAATACTGAAGAAATAAAAAGACGTCCTAGGATAATGAGGACGGGTGCAGCCACTGTAATAGATAATTTGCTTTGTCGACAGTATAACACATGCCATTTTATAATAAATAATTAAATAGGCTTAATATATTTTCTTTAATAATATTTGATTAATGTTATACCGATTTTCCCAATTTTCCTACGTTTTTCCCGGTTTTTCAAATTTGATGAGAAAACTCCTGAGAAAATCAAAAAATTACCTTCTTTAAGTACCTTTCCATACCGATTTTCTTTCAGGAAAGGTGTTACACTTAGAAATCTAAACAAGTCTTCTAGTAGAAAAGTAGTAAACAGATAAACAAAAAAAAAAAAAAAAAAAAAAAAAAATAAACATCTTTGTAAAACTATAAACTTCTACGCTCCACTCAGAATCTAAAATATATTTGAACAAATTTTTATTTTTTCAGTTAAATATCGAATAGCAATATCTAATTACGAATAATACATTGGCACTAATAATGTATTTCAAATATATTTTTTCTTTACAATGCAATTACTATTATCATGTATTTTTGGCTGAGATATTATGTTATGTATAGAGGGATGGTGAACTATGACATATGTGATTTTTTTTTTTTTCTGAAATTTTAAATGCAAACTACGGCAGAAAAACAAAGTATCATAGAAACTACGGTAGATACCGAAAAGGTACATTATGCTAATTGCCAGTGACGTATTTAGGCATTATGTGCCCTTGGGCAACATTTAATAAGCGACTTCCCTCTAAAAGAATGTACATTTAGCATTGAATATTTTTTTTGTAGATAGTAAACAACAATGATATTGATAAAGGTATTTAAATATTAAATAAATTGGTTTTTACAAACATATGGCATGGCATATGTTTTAATTTTCCATAAAAGAGAATCGTATCTATGAAAAATAACAACTATTATACATTTTATTTTAATCGATTTATTTGCAACTATTTTATTACTAAAATAAAGTAACTGGTATATAAAAACGTTAAGAATACACTGCAGATAAATGACAATAATGTCCAAGTGGTTTTAAATGATGAATTTAAAACAAAATTAATAGTCGAGTCGTTTTTGTTTAATCACTTTAGTCTAAATTATGTTGTCTACCAAAATTTAGACACGCATTTTTCAATGTTATTCATGTTAAAACCTACATTAAAGTTATTAAAATAATATAACTATAATGAAATATTAATATAAAATAAATTACCCTGCAGGATTATCATTAGATTAAAAAAAAAAAAATGATGGCAATAAATCAGCATTTATCTCATCGACGCTATAAAACAATTAAACACTAAAATACAATTATTTACTTACAAATATAAAACAAATGAATAAAAAAGATTTTAGATTTACTTTTAATCTAAATATTTGCACTAATTGTAGTGGGGTCATGCAGTTCAAAATTGTTTGTATTTGAATAAATCAGGTTCATATTTATTTGTGCGATTTGGCTTAACATCTCTTCATTAACGTAGTTAGTAAATGCGATCATTTTTTATCGATGCCATTTTATATTATAAGGTTATTTATATATTTTTTAGTACAAAATCTGAAATTCCATTACAAACAATAGT